TAATAATCAAACTGGAGCACGTGGGGGAGGAAAACACAACACGAGACATGGAACAGAGTCTGACAGCGTGACTGAAGATTTTATTTATGCTAATTTTTTCAATGACAAGCCTTTAAATTTAAAATAACAGTTTTCCATTTTAAAGGGGTCCTATTATGCTTTTTCACTTTTTCAATTTTAGTCAGTGTGTAGTGTGTATGTTTGGGCATAAAAAAGATCTACAAAGTTACAAAACTCAAAGTCCACTCCAAAGCGAGATATTAAATTTTATTTAATTTTTTATCCCTTTTCAAGAACTACAACGAATGGCTCGTTTGGACTACAGCGTTTGTTTTCCGGGCTTTATGATATCACAAAGCGGCTCATTGGAATATCATTACAAATTTTGACCCATACAATGTATTTTTGGCTATTGCTACAAATATACCCCAGCGACTTAAGACGGGTTTTGTGGTCCAGGGTCACATATCCGTGCGTGCAAAGGTTCTGCTCGATCCTCTTGTTCAATATTCTTGGGGTCTGAATCCGGCTCAAATTGATATGGCAATATTGACGCCATCCTTAACTATACCGGAGCAGACGGAACTTGCTGCTTTGGCAAGGGGCAGGGCAGTACTGAAACACCGTCTAAGCTGTTTGCCAATCACAACGCACTGGGACAGCTAACCAATCACAACACATTTCGGAAAAAAAATGCGTTTTTCGAACCACCAAGCATGAGAGCATGTACTAGTACACCCCCAAAACAAAATTAAGACTTTGTAAAAGAGCATAATAGGACCCCTTTAATATATCTGAATATTTAATTTATTCCTGTCATGGCAAAGCTGAATTTTCAGCAACATTACTCCTGTCTTCAGTGTCGCAAGATCCTTCATGAATCATTGTAATATGCTGATTTGTTGCTCCAATTATTATTAACATTTAATATTATTATCAATGTTGAAAACAGTTTTTTCATGCTTCCTTTTTTTGTGGAAACTGTCTGGAGTCAGTAAAATTTAAAAATAAAGAGAAAGAAAGAACGAAAGAAAGAAAGAAAGAAAGAAAGAAAGAAGTGGAGTGATGTTTATGGAGTGAAGGGCTGCAACGGACATAGATGAGTTTTTTTTGTTGTTTTTTTACAGATGTGTCAGATATTTTAGACAAATAATGTGTGGTATTGTAGTATTCTAGTCAGTGTAGTTATTGAGCTTTGTATATGTTTTTTGTCTTTCAGACACATGTTATGTTCTGTCCTTTGCCATCATTATGTTAAACACAAGTCTTCACAATCCCAATGTCCGGGACAAACCCGCCGTAGAGCGTTTCATCTCCATGAACAGAGGCATTAATGACGGAGGAGACCTGCCAGAGGAGTTGCTCCGGGTAACAGCCGCTAACTGGATCTCTGATTGCCAATGCTGAAAATTATAGATTAAGCCATTAATGATGAATGATATAACACAACATAACAGATAAACTACCTGAAGTAAGAATTTCTTCTCTCTGCTGGAAAAGCCCAGTTCGGGGGCCAAGCACTAACTGCAAGAACTTGACTTACTCTCCTCTTTCTTCTTCAGAATCTTCTTCCTCTCTCACTTTCCATAGGACGGTTTTAAATATGTGTTCATCTGCATACATTAAAAGCACTAATGTCCCTTCTCTCTCGCAGAACCTGTACGAGAGCATCAAGAGCGAGCCCTTCAAAATCCCTGAAGATGATGGCAACGACCTCACACACACATTCTTCAACCCGGACCGAGAGGGCTGGCTGCTCAAGTTAGGTCAGAACCAGACTCTTACAGCTCCTTTGGCTGATATTTTCTGCAGAGTTGTGGTTTTACACCACATAGATCTGTTGGAGGTCTGTTGGAGCCTGTAGGTGGTGTCAGGGAAAGCTGTGAACACAGTGCTGCTCATTACCATCCTAATGGGTTTTTCACATCACTGCGAGGGATTCCTTCAGCAGTAGTACGCCGTCTCATAGGGACAGAGCGCCTGACACATAGAGTTACAGCCACTCATGAAAAGTGTGCAGTTTAGTAGGGAAACATTTTGTGGGGAGACAAGAATAGGATGAAAGCAGAAGTATCAAGCAGAATGCAATGAACTTTCTGCTGTTACTATTGCATTAACTTTTTAAACATCAGCTCTCACAGACAGGATTGTGGTACTTTAAAGTGCCCCTATTATGGGTAATGAAAGGTTCATATTTTGGTTTTGGGAGTCCCCAACAACAGGTTGGCATGCATGCAAGGTCAAAAACACTTTCATTGTCTTATAATATGCATTTATTTTTACCTTACTTGCTCAACGACTCCCAAACGCTTCGCTCAACGATTCATTTTTCCAAACCTCTCCTTTGCGTGACGCTAATCTGCGGTAATTGGTCCAATTGGTCTTATTTTCATTTCATGATGTTGACCTCAACATGAAACGGCGTGGGATTTGTTTTAAAAACGACTCGTTTCAACTATTCTGAGTCGACTCTTTATTTTGAGAGACAATAACTTTATACACGGTGCACTTTCAGATTTTAAACTTTGCAGGATGTTTTCATTCACTTAGAGCTGTGTTACACACTGCATGAAAGGTAATTTTCAAAAATCCATAATAGGGGCACTTTAATTTGTAAATTATGAGGTCCTGGAATGGGCTTCTGTTGGATCTGGCAAGGGAAGAAGGGACACATAATGAAGAAAAAAAAGATGTGTAACATCCAATTGAAACTTTAAGCAAGCGGCAACCTATTTTACTTTGTAATCTGATGTAAAATGGATTTGGCAAACTCTAATCTGATTGGATAAAATTACACATCTTTTTTTTAGTCCGCCTGGGTACAAAGTTATGTTTATAAGTGGTACAATGAGAGATTCTGAGGAAAAAAATAATTACTGTATTTCGTCTTTTTTGGCAGGTTACTACATTTACATTTACATTTAGTCATTTAGCAGACGCTTTTATCCAAAGCGACTTACAAATGAGGACAATAAAAGCAGTCAAAACTAACAAAAGAGCAACAATATATTTTAAAGTGCAAATGACAAGTCTCGGTTAGCCTAACGCAGTACACGTAGCAAGGTGTATATAAATATATATATATACACCTTCACACACACTCACTCACTCACTCACTCACTCACTCACTCACTCACTCACTCACTCACTCACTCACTCACTCACTCACTTTATACACGGTGCACTTTCAGATTTTAAACTTTGCAGGATGTTTTCATTCACTTAGAGCTGTGTTACACACTGCATGAAAGGTAATTTTCAAAAATCCATAATAGGGGCACTTTAATTTGTAAATTATGAGGTCCTGGAATGGGCTTCTGTTGGATCTGGCAAGGGAAGAAGGGACACATAATGAAGAAAAAAAAGATGTGTAACATCCAATTGAAACTTTAAGCAAGCGGCAACCTATTTTACTTTGTAATCTGATGTAAAATGGATTTGGCAAACTCTAATCTGATTGGATAAAATTACACATCTTTTTTTTAGTCCGCCTGGGTACAAAGTTATGTTTATAAGTGGTACAATGAGAGATTCTGAGGAAAAAAATAATTACTGTATTTCGTCTTTTTTGGCAGGTTACTACATTTACATTTACATTTAGTCATTTAGCAGACGCTTTTATCCAAAGCGACTTACAAATGAGGACAATAAAAGCAGTCAAAACTAACAAAAGAGCAACAATATATTTTAAAGTGCAAATGACAAGTCTCGGTTAGCCTAACGCAGTACACGTAGCAAGGTGTATATATATATATTATACACACACATATACACACACAAAGAAAAACAAGTAGATAGAATAGAAAAAATAGAAAGCTAGCGGGTTTTTTTTATAAAAAAAGAAGATAAATATAGATAAAGTAGAATTAAAATAGAATAGTTATTAATAATTATTTACTAGTATCAAGCGTTTAAAAGATCTGAAATGACTTTAGAGCTTTGATAATTATTGTTTGAGTGTGATTTTGCACTTAGTAGAAAGTAAACTGGGTCACACTTTAGTGTAGGGATTCTCACCATTAACTTACTATTATTAACTATAACTTTTTCCTTAATAAACTCTTAAAAAACTGCTTATTAATAGTTAGGAAGGTAGTTGTTAACTTTAGGATTAAGGGATCTAAAATATGGCCGTGCTTTATAACTACTAATAAACAGTCAATATGCTAGTAATGTGCAACTTGTTAATAGTGAGCATTGGTCCCTAGTGTTATTTCAAAATCATTTCAGTTGAACCCACCTCTAAATGGCACGTGAAAACAAAACTATGACTTGTTATTTAGATTTTTTTTATAGTGTGCAGCTGTTGAATAAGCTCCAGTGTGGACCAGACTTTATGCTGATAGTTCAATGTCTGGCTATACAAGATTAGAGTTGTTGTATGGAGCCGGATCTGGATGCACAAATGAATCCCTGTAGCAGGGGATTGTCCATACAGAAGGTGTTTTGTAGTTGCTGTGTTTCATTTGTATGTGCCTCTTTTATTTGTCTGTCAAGCATCAAATGGCACTTGTTTGTGTGTTTCTGTGTCTCCCGTCTCCCATACATTATGTGTGTCATTTCTGTCCTAAATGTGTATTTGTATGTGTTGTGGTGGTGCTTTGTTTCTCATGTATTGATGTTGAACATTCCTTCTTGTTTTCCTTACACACTTTGCCCTTTGACCCTTGCCCTCATTTTCTGTCCCCGTGACTGGCTGTCTCTACAGGAGGTACGTAACCAGGACAGATCTATCCCATCATTCCCTCATCTCAACCTCTTTTCATCTCCTGTAACCTTAATTTATCCTTTCCTGACTGTCATTCAAGGCCTTCCTACTTCCTGTCTGTAGGGATGTGTATATTGTTAGGTTGCTCTACTCTGGCTGGCTGCTGCTGCTGGGGTCCAAGGTCAGCTTAGTGCATATGGTCTGATTTAGCGTCACACCTCAGCTGTATTGTTTGGCTCGGGACACACAAATACCTTGTTTACTATGTAATGTCTCAGGAGTCCTGTATACATTGTAATAATGAAGGTACACATTATACCCACACAATCTTTATGTGTCCCCCTCAGCAGTAAGCGGTGGGGAGCTTTTTCCACTCAAATAATTATGGTTTTCCCCACTTCAAATAACTCTATATAAGTCAATAATGTTGAGAAATAATCAAATAATGTGACCATCAGTTCAGTAGCTATATCAATTTCCTGTTAATTATATCAACAGTAATTATTCCTCTGTTATCACAGGGAAGTTGTCACAAAGTCTTTAAAACTAATACGTTTTTGATGAGATTCTTCATAAGTATCAGGTTGGAGCAAGTTTCATGTGTGTGAAACGTTATGAATTTATAAAGTTTATTATTGGCCAAAATTATGGTACATTTATTCATTTAGCAGACATTTTTATCCAAAGCGACTTCCAGATGAGGAACATCACAAACATTTTTTTTTTGTCTCAACAGATTTTTTAATACAATAATTTCTATAATAAATAGGAGTGTATAGGAGGAGTAATAAAGAGGAATTATAGTCCATTTGTTTATCCCATATAATGTGACAACATGCTATTGGGGCATGTTGTCACAAAAGGGTGATGTGTATTAAAGTAAACTGTATCTTATACACTGTGTTCCGAATTATTACAATTGACATTATAACATTATGACAATTTTTTTAATTCATAACTTTCATAACATTTGAAAAGACTAGGCTATTTGATGACACGTTCCATTTGTTTATCCCATATAATGTGACAACATGCTATTGGGGCATGTTGTCACAAAAGGTTGATGTGTATTAAAGTAAACTGTATCTTATACACTGTGTTCCGAATTATTACAATTGACATTATAACATTATGACAATTCAGTAGGATTTCAGCGAAATAAAAATTCAGATTCCATTTTTCATAGAAAGTGTTTGTTTTGTTTCTCATCTATTTTTTAGATAACTGGCAGCAATCTCAGACAGGTTTGTTAAATAGTTTGCCAGGTCTTCTTAGGTAAATGGAAAACTTACTTGGAAGAGTTTGCTCCACATTATTAAGCAAGTCACAGTTCTAATGCAATATGGTGAGAAAGCAAGATCTTTCTGAAGATGTAAAGCATTGAACAGTGCAACAACTTGCAAAAAGCATGAAAACAACTAATATTTTGTGAAAACTGAATAGAGATTATCGAACTGTCAATAGATTTGTGAGTGATTCAGAGCACAGAAGAACTCGATCAGATAAAAGCTTATTAAGGAAAGTTTCTGTCAAATTATTTGTATTAAAAAGCTATAAAAAAGCCACTATTGAGCGGCAAACAGGTATTTGAAGCTGTCTGGCAGTTGTGCATAAAGCTGCATTTCAGCCACCTGAAAGCGAAGCATTTACAGTGGGTGTAGAAATACATGAAGACTCATTTTTATATAGTTTTATTCACTGATGAATACAATGGATGGTCCAGATGGATGGAGTTCTGGATGGTTGGTGAATGATAGTTTGGAACATGTATGTATGTTTATAAATCCCCATAAATAAACAATCATTATTGTTGGACACGTATTGTTCAAAGCATTGTCCAAATGAAGGTACCCTGATCTTTGCCCTGTAGGCCAGGAACTAACAGAAGCCTGCATGTGTTAATAGAGTCATTGGGATTGTGTCATTGTTCCTTCATCCATTCAGCTCCCTCACTGAGAGCCACATGCCATGAAACATCACTACGACCTCATTTCCCATCTGTGAGTGGCCTTCATTGCCATGAGCTGCACTGGTGCTTTGAATGACTCTCAAGCTGCCATCTTTTGTGACTGAGGTGGCATAATACAGATGGACATCAGAGATAGTGAAAGTACAATGTGGGAACAGAATTGCAAATAGGGAACTGCAGATAATCTCTCTCTCTATGCAGTACGTTTCCATGCGGATGTGCGTTCAGCATCCGTGGGTTGGAGATGTTGGAGTCAGGAGAGGGGGTTGATAAGCCCACGGCAGCATTGTGCTGGATACACCATGTTATAGCAGCCAAAAACAGAAGAGAAGAGTGCCGCTTGCTCTAGAAAACAGCAGAGGAAAGATATGACTGAAAATGAGTCCGAGGCTTTAATGTATATAAGAACATGCAGTGTGTGGGGGTGTGCGAGAGAGATGCTTTGCATGTCTATATCTATGTATCATTTTCCACAGCATGATAGTGGCGTTTCTATATTTGCAATGAGACTCTGTGTCTAATTCAATCGTAAAATGCAGTCTAGAACACTCTTGTAAGGTCTGTCTTTTTTGTAAAAGACTGTTGCGTGACTGTTTCTGAAGAATAAACCAAATAAGGGTAGCGCTGTGATCCAAGCTCTCTTTGACATCTGTCTCAAATAACTTCTCTCATCGTCGTAGCATTGCTCCCAGACATTTCTGTTTTCGCTTGCTGTGGTCAGGAGTTGTGCACTGGACTCTGTGCTCGGCACAAATGCAGAGCAGTCACAGATTTGAGCTGTATATTGTTTTCTGAAAGGTTCAGGAGAATCTCCATGTGGAATCTCCACTTCGGTCCTTGAAGATATTGTTAAAGGCACCACAAAGGATTCAAATAAAATTGCAAAAATGCTAAAGCCTTTTTATATCCAAATAATCCGATTGGAATTTGATCATATTTAGCAGGTGTGAAGCTACATTCATATGTGGTTTGGAATTCTATTCAAATCGTATTTTTGGAAATTCGTTTCAGTCTGACCGCTCAGATCGGATTTTGCATAGCTTTTTCACATTCTCACGCGACGCAAAATGTAAGCACATCAGACATGTTTTTTTTGCCCTTTATTATGATAGGACACATCAGACGTTGTTTGTAGAAACATCGCAGAAACAAGGTTGCGTTGTTGCGAAGTGCAATTCAAGCAGAAATTGACAACTGACAAAATACTGCTGGTCTCTTTGAGTTTTGAGAATGGTAGAGACAGCAGCATGGAATAAATCTGCACATTCCAGCTTCCTACCTTTATGCCACTTCCACATTAGATGTAATATAAATAAAAGCGCGATTTGCGATCTACATTGCAAACTGTATTGCCAATACAGGTGTTCAGTAAAATGAAAGAGCACAATGGGATACACAAATCGGATCTGAGCAGTTGCGATACACAGTGTGGACTGTAATTTAAATCAGATTCCAATCGTATACACAAATCAGATTTGGAGTGACAGTCTCAACAAGGCTTACTGTTTCCGAACAAGTTTCCATATTGTCTTGCCATCTTCCATTGTTCTAAGAAACATGTAGTCCTGCCCAAACTTACACCACTGACATATCCAACCATTGCCACAGGCCACATCTGTCTTAAAAACTGTACTTAATGTAGACTTGTGGTCTTGTATCCTTCAATTATCTGTCCATGAAGTCCACTAGACCATAGTATTCTATTTGTTATGAATCTGAATGGTGATCCAGAGTGCCTCTTCATGGCTTCAATGTGTTCTTTTGCAGAGCTTGCACTGGAGATGAATTGTCTATGTTGCATTATGTCACTCAAATGAAGAACACAAGGGCTGAGGCTGGTATTTAGGACAGTCCCGAACTCTTCAGAAATTCAACCAATTCATGGTTTATAAACTAATTCATGGTTTACAGTTTTCTGGAATGGGAGAACATATTAACATAGAAAAAGATAGATATCATACACTGTGAATATGCAGAACTAAACTTGGCCAGATCATTTGCAAATAAATGAGTGTTCCACCAGAAGATATTGTTGATGATATTCCAGAAATGAGAAACAGGAGCTGTATGTTATTGTGGCATTGGCGCTAGTCATTTGCTGCTCAGAAATTGGGTCATTGGCCTTGATTTAGTTTCTGTTTGATGGTTCATAAGTTCTGTTTAATTTGCTTTGCAGGTGGGCGAGTAAAAACTTGGAAGAGGAGATGGTTTATTCTGACTGACAACTGCTTGTACTATTTTGAGTACACAACAGTAAGTAGTTTTTGTTATTTATGGGTTGTTAAGTACATTGTTTCTAGGGTGTACTGTACACCAGGGCTGCCAATCCTGTTCCTGGAGATCAACCTTCCAGCAAAGTTCAGTTCCAACCCTGATCCAACACACCTGTCTGTAATCATCAGCTGCTCCTGAAGATCTTAATTAGCTGGTTCAGTTGTGTTTGATCAAGGTTGGAGCTGAACTTTGCTGGATTAGGCACCATGTCCTGAGAGTTTGAGGGGTTATTCTCATCCCAGATGCATTTTGATGGGTTTCTCCTGCCTATAGGACAAGGAACCACGTGGAATTATTCCTCTGGAGAACCTCAGCATCAGAGAGGTGGAGGAACCCAGGAAACCTGTGAGTGCCCAAACAAACTTGATAGTTAGAGCTGAACAAGATCATGAAAACATCATGCCTTACATTTTATGTTTTGTTTCCTTATGTAGAACTGCTTCGAGTTGTACAATCCCAACCATAAAGGTCAGGTGATCAAGGCCTGTAAGACCGAGGCAGATGGGAGGGTGGTGGAGGGAAACCACGTCGTCTACAGGATATCAGCACCCACACCAGAGGAGAAGGAAGAATGGATCAAGTCCATTAAGTAGGATTTCCTTCCTATTGAACATATTCTAATCATTAAAGGGGTCATATGATGCGATTTCAAGTTTTCCTTTCTCTTTGGAGTGTTAGGGACACGGCATCAACATTATGGTAAGGGGCGTAACATTTCCGTCCCACGCTTGAGGTATTCAGCCAATCACACCGCACTGAATAGCTGGCCAATCAGAGCACTTCTCGCTTTTCAGAACGATGAGCTTTGTAAAAATCGACGAAGGCGGGGCAGAGAGGAGAAAAAATAATGTACAGTATGTGGAAAATAATGTTTTTTTAACCTTAAACCGCATAAAGACATTTCATTACACCAAATACACAAAATGCTATTTTTAGCAGCATCATATGACCCCTTTAAATAGTCTTGTTCCGTGATCTCATCACTGGGTTTCACCCGGTTGCTGAAGAAATACAGTGATGACGTTAACACGTGTTTACACATAATGTTCCTCTTACACTAAACTAAGTCTCTAAAATCTATTTAATTCATTCCAGTAATTAGAATTTGGGGGATTACTTAAATGACATGAAAAAAAAATGTCACAGTGCAAAAAATCTTAATGGTCTTAGACTGAGACATGTTATTGAAATGTTTTGTGAGTTTCACCTCACTAGTTTTTTTAAACATAGCTATCAGCTGTGGTTTTGTTCATATTGGGACAGCAGTGGATTTTAACAGCACTAGTCATGATGGTGTTTTCAATAGAAACAGCAGTCTCATCACATAACCCCTGTTTTCATGGGGCATCAGTTGAGATTAGTCAGCTTAACCCCCCACAAGCCATCAACTCCAGCGGGACCAACAGACCTGTTGCAGACCTGTTCTCTCCACTAATCCAGGCCTAGCACTAGCGTGTCTCATCTCTCAGAGACATGCTGTAGGATGAGAGGGTTTATCACAGCACATTTTGCCTAGTCGGCACAGTTATGACCCACAATCCTTATCTGCTTATCTGTAATCATGCTTTATACGCTCAGGATAGGGGACCATTCAGTCATACTTTGGAAACAGTCCCAGGAACAAAAACAAAAACAAGGGCTTCCCATGGGTTTTAAGTCATTCAACAGAAATAAGTCATGGCAGTGTATCTGATGGGTATGTCGGTGCAGAATCTGAGCCCACAGAACTCAGAATGTAGAACTTCATTGGAACACATTTGAAATCCATTCAGCAGAATTCTTTTCAGGGTATAGTAGAATCAGGGTAGAAATAGTAAAAAGATGAAGGATATGTTTGGAATAGATCACTAGCATATTACTTGCTTAAGCCTGTGCAGTATATTCAGTATACTACCAGCTATTAACAAATAGTTAGTAAAAGAGTGCACAATAAAATAATACCTTGTTGATGCATGATGTCATCCTATTGTATGCAAGTGACATCCTGTTAGCATTTTTGGAAAAATTTAATTTGTTGCATTTTTTTTAATTATAATTTTTGATAGTCAAATCAAAACTCATTCAGATATTAAAGGGGTCATATGATGCGATTTCAAGTTTTCCTTTCTCTTTGGAGTGTTACAAGCTGATTGTGCATAGATAAGATCCCTAAAGTTGCAGAGACTCTATGCTATTCCGAACATAGAGTGTGCAAATTAAACACATTTCCCAGCAACCTTTGCAAGATACAAAGAGCACTCATTCTGCACTGCATCTGCAAGAACTCACAGTATATAACTACTTTTAGTATTTTTTTTAGAGAGAGCGTCTCAAAAAAGGGAGGAATATAGGAAGGTCATAGCTCTGTTTCAAAACCTAATGAGCTGCATAGACAACTACAAAGACAGTGACCATTTCGAAATGCTTGACATAGCCTTGTGAAAAAAGTTTTTTTTTTTTAAATTTTTTATAATGTGCACTATAAGTGAACATTCAATACAAATCATTCAAAAATATATATTTATATATATAAAGAACTATACTGTACTTGATAAAATATGAATGAATAAAAGTCCACTTAAGTGTATTAGTACACCTTCATGACTTTTCCTAATTCCATTATTTAAAATTAAATTCAATGTTTTACATTTAAATCAGTATTTTAATAATCTTTTGTCATATTTTAGAGTAGTACACTTGTGTGTTAGTATGTTAGTCAGCACATCAAAACAAGTACTTAATGATCATTTTAACTGTATGTAATTTTATTATAATACATCTGTGTGTGTGTGTGTGTATATGTATATACGTATATATATATACGTATATATATATATATATATATATATAAGTATACTAAAGTGTAATTCTTTTCACAACAATCAACTCAATGCCACACAAACAGTGTTTGTCACTTTCATTCCAGTAGGCTTTAAAGGGTTAGTTCACCCAAAAATGAAAATTCTGTCATTAATTTCTCACCCTCATGTTGTTCCAAACCAGTAAGACCTTCGTTCATCTTCGGAACACAATTTAAGATATTTTTGATGAAATCTGAGGGCTCTCTTCAAAAATATCTTAAATTGTGTTCCGAAGATGAACGAAGGTCTTACGGGTTTGGAACAACACGAGGGTGAGTAATTAATGACAGAATTTTCATTTTTGGGTGAACTAACCCTTTAACATTAGCATGTTGCTAAGCTAACGGCACAATATTGTAATAAACATTAAAAATAAATAGCATTAAACTAAATACAGTACAAATACAGTTTTTTTTCACTGACTTTATCAGAGCATTCAGGGATTACCTAATAAAGGCACAGGAACATTAGATATCGGTCGCTGATGGATTTAAAGCGGCCTTTAATCTTAGCAGGTCTGGCCTTGCACTGGACAAGACTCAAAAACGAGAGGCGGGGTTAAACGGGGGCGGGGTCTGTCCTCAGAAACCAAACTAGGTCACTGAACAAACTATTTTCTACGATGTGCGTACTATATATGTGCTACATTTCCATATCAAAGATGCCGAAGTCTCTCAGCCTCTCCTCACATCTCCTTTAATTGGTTCCTTCAGAGCGAGCATCAGCCGGGACCCCTTCTACGACATGCTGGCCACCAGGAAGAGACGAATCGCCAACAAGAAGTGAAGTCTGCATCCAAACCGCTTCCCCAAAGCCTGCAACACACACTGCCTTCTGGAACAGCCTTTGTGCGAGTGTGTGTTTTGACGGGCCCAGCAGCCGAAGAATTCATGTTTATAGTTCCTTTCTTGTGTCTCTATGCGTATAAAAACACAGCTGTCCTGATCTGTTTGTATTTGCATGGATGTTGGTACAGTATGTATAACTGGGCGGCTCATCGAGAGGCCAGAGGAAGTCGTTTGTGATCTCTCACTTCAGATGTCAGATAGAAAAGCCATTTATTTCAAGAGAATATACCTATTTCGATGCCCAACGACCTGACGATGTGATCGCACAGGGCTCTGAGACAATAAGCCCTCGTGGCCATTATCTCTTATGGTGCTAGAAGACTTCCTGCGTGCATGTGACCTCAAGCTCAAATTGACATTAATGATCCAATTCTAACACTAGGTGGCGGTCTGGAGTCAGCTGGACTGATTTCATGTTGTTAGAGCAAGAAACAGCAAATATGTAACACATACACTGCTGTTCAAAAGTTTGGGATGAGTACGATTTTTTATGTGTTTTTTTTTAAAGAAGTTTCTTATGCTGATCAAGGCTGCATTTATTTGATCAAAAATACAAAAAAAGCTGTAATTTTGTGAAATATTTTTGCAATTTAAAATAACAGTTTTCTAAAATATAATTTATTCCTGTGAAGCAAAGCTGAATTTTCAGCATCATTACTCCAGTTTTCAGTGTCATATAATCCTTTAGAAATCCTTCTAATATGCTGATTTATACGGAGCCCCGCACATGGCATTCCGGAAAAAAATAGTAGGCTAAATCATGTGCACGATTTACTATTTCGTTCCCTCGATTTATAAATTGTGCGAACGATTTACTAATTCGTTCCCTCGATTTGCTAAATCGTGCACACGATTTATAAATCGAGAGAACGAATTAGTAAATTGTGCGCACGATTTAGCAAATCGAG